AGCGGTAGTGGCATTCTTTGAGGAGATATCGTAAGGTGAGTTAATGTTTTTAATATAGCTAAGTAAAGCGTCCTTATTAATTAAGAAAAGGATGTCAGCAGGGGAGGGAAGGAACTCTAGCACTTTGGTTAATGAAAATCTAATTGTCGGAGAAGTTGATAGAAATCCCTCAGTGCCACAAATTTCTCTTTGCAGTTATTGTTTGGTCATACAGACTCATTTGTCTATTTCTGTTCCACCCACTTGTCCATCCAGTCATCCATTAATTTATTTATCACACCTGCATCCTTTATTTATTCATTTATCCATATCCAATCATTCATCGATTCGATATATTTGTAACGCTGAGTCGAAGACTCGAAAGTCTGAAAAATTGGAGAGTGTAAAGCTTCAGCAGTGTGCGCAAAAGGGCTTTCGAAAGCTTGTGGTAAAGATAGGTTATATATGTACCCTGCAATCGTATTAGTTACAGCAAATGTAGTTTTAACTCTGTAAAACGTCACAAGTAAACTGCGGCGGCAAGTCACTTCGTAGAGTTTCTGAGAATCAAAGTCATTTCAGCGAGTTGTTGATTGCAACTTCAAAGCAGTTTTCTYATAATCATATAGTTGTATAAAATAGTTGTTCTTTCGTTGTAATGCATTATTACAAATTACTTTAGTACCTTCAGTCATCGAGGGTTGCGTTAATTCCAAAAATCTGGGATCTCTTTGCTCCATCAAACAACACCAATCTTTTCACTGTCGTTTTGGTCTTTTGAAATGGTAAAAAAAACTACAACCTTTTGATCAAGTATTACTTTAATCAGATTTAATGTCAAAACTATGTAACTTATTGTATTTGTAATTATTTYTCTAATAAAGATTATCGTGAAAAAAAAGTATTCGATGCATCAACGTGGATCCTGATCAAGTGTTCGAATGTGCAGCAGTTATCAAGTGTTCGATCTCTATGGATTCTGATCAAGCATTCGAAATGATCCTAAACAAAGAACAAGAAGCATACTGACGTACGAT